TTAGATTTTGTCATTGCCCGAGGAATTCCCCAAGGAATTTCAATTGGATTGGGAATTGGAAAATACGCGACTCATCATTGGGTGAGCTTAGCTAATTGCATACTCTCCGTTTCGTAATAAAATAATGCTCCACCCGCTGGGAGCGTAGAGTTCCCACACACGGGGAGGCCCCAAACACGTCGAAAACAAAATGAAACGAAATGTGAAATGTGAAATGTGGCTTAGTCAGCATTAGCGAGGAAATAAGCGGCTCTGCTCTTGCCTGTAGTTTCCTCATTTTCCTTCAGGTAAGCCCCAAATCTGCCCCTCTGCAAATGCCCCGCAATTGTTGTGAGTTGACGGCGGGGACAAGGACAAGGATAGGCTTGGGCGCGAGGACGAACTTAAAAAAAAAAAAAATGATGATGGCTTTGGCTTTGGCTTTAGACGAGAAAAAACAAATCTTGAAAATGTTCCGCGCTGCACGGGGCGGCTGGCTGCTCACGCTCGTCGCATTTCCGCCTGGTTAACTCTGATTAAAGGGAGGCAACAAAACCCACCCGGAACAAGCCTGCCACAAACAAAACAAACCCTTCAACCAGAAAGAAAAATCTAGGCCCCCATCCCCAATGCTCCATGGCATGTCTGAGTACGCGGCCTCAGCACGGAAAGTATTCTCGGAGCGTTGCGTCGTCGCAGGAGCAGGTACCTAAGTAAGGCGGCAGGGCGTGGTCGCTTTGCTGTTTAAGAAGGAATACCGCTCGGCCTGTCGACCGTCTCCACGCCACGACCGCCACAACCGCCACGCCACGCCACTCCACTCCGCACCACAAAATATTCAATTTATGTTGGGTGATGATGAGGATAGGGTTTGGCAGCAGGGGAGGTCCGACTGATTGCACACTCCGCCCACGTCAAATTTACCGCTTTACTCTAGAGTTTACACTTACAGTGCAAAAAACTGAGTGAGTGAATGGCGCATGGGAGCGCGCTCGTGTTGCTTGTGCTCTCCGCGTGGGTGGTGTATTTGAACAAGTGCGTGTGTTTGGGAGAGATGATGAACGTAAATAACATTTTTCTATCCGCCCCCCACAACCCACTCGACCAACCACATCACATTGAAGGGGAGTGTAGTTATTTTTTTATTCCATTTCATTTTTCCACTTATGGCATTTGCTCTTAATGCTGCATTTACCTTGGCTACGCCGCCATGCCCCCAGCCACCCTCACACACACTCACGCATGCGGCGTGTATGCACAACCTTGCTGCTAGTGGGTCTGTGTGTGTGTGTGCATGGAACTTTGCCCCTTGCCACGGCCTTAGTCTCGTGAAACAGCTGCACAAAGTGCTCTGCGGGATGCGGCCAGGCCGGGCCATCCCTTCTACGTCTCTGTCTCTGCCACCAGCTCCAACAACACTGTCTCCCATCGCCTCCTGCCCCATGCCCCACTCGCCCGCCACTCTTTTCGCCAGCCTTTGCTTCTTGCCTTGGTCTTTGCCTAATTAATGACTACGATGGCGACGACGAGGACGACGACGAGGACGACGACGACGACATTGCGCTGATTTTGGTTACTTGGAGATGAAAAAGCGAAAACCAAAACAGCAAAGCAGGACCAGCAAAGCTGACGATAGAACAAATTCAATTAATCATTAATTTGCTAGGCCGTCAGCGACTTGGATGAGCACCCGAATGGGAGGCGCAGCAGGAGCCCCGCCAGCCGGATCACGGGTTCAAGGTAGTGCACGACTTTAGCCTGGGGCTTCAAGCGGGGGCAACACTCTGGGGCAACAAGTGAAGACTGGTCGATCTCACAGATTGAACACGCAGTGAAATCAATACAGGATGCCCAGGATATGGTGAACTTAATACAAAATCTGGCTGTCTCACAAATATTAGCGGGTACGCAGTCGTCAGAACAGAGACAGGACTGGAGGAACTGGAGAGTAGAACAAGCTGCTCTCAGATTCTGATTTTAATCTGAAATTGAATTCACATTCCAGATTCTTTCTCGGCTCCCACTTCCACTCCCACTGCTGCTCCTGCTCCTGCTCCCGGACTCACGCTCACGTGGCGTTGGCATCGTAATTGAATTGGCAGCTCAGCAAGTCAGGACAAGGACGTGGAAAGGGTATCTAGATGGGGGAGTGCGACGGAATCGGAAGCGGAGTCGGTGTCAAGGCGGCGAAAATTGGTGGGAATGCCAATGGCCACGACTGCATAATTTCGACAATAAATCAGAGGGGCGTAGTCCAAGCCATGGATCGCCATGGATCCTAGAGCAGGGGTAGGCAAGGCATTGCACTGAGCGCTGCACCTTGACATGATGCCCATAAATTGGACTGACAGCTTGGCCAGAGCCAGCGATGACATTTATAAATTTACGAGCAAGACGATGCCGTCCGTGCAACAGATGCGAGTCGCTTGGGCGCTCGGGGCTGCAATGGTGCCTGGCGGGGGATACGGGAGGCGTGACGCGATGGCCGTATTCGGCTGCCAAAGTGTTTTTCTAACAAATTGCCATTTATATGTGCACGTGTGCGAGTGTGTGGTGGTGTGTGGATGTGTGGGTGTGTGAATGTGTGTCTCAAAGGAGGCGTTCAAGTTGTTTGCCAGCTGCTATTGTTATTATGTTGTTAATAAGTTAGACGTGGGGCCGTCGAAACCGTAATATGAATGCCAGGCGCAGGCATGAGGCATCACTCGAGAAGCACACAAGAAGCAGAACACATGAAGCAGCAGCAGCGCCGAAAACAAACTTGCAGAAAGACAAACACCAGAGCAGCGTCTGAGATGACTGGGTCGTTTGCGACGAAGGCGGCACAGGAAACGGAAACAGGCCATGAAACTGCACACACACACACACACTTACACCGCCTGCTGGCGGATGTCGTAGGACGTGTAGGCGACGTGACTTTGACGTTGCATAGTGGAATGAATGAGACACGGACGCTTGCCTCAGACTGTCTCAGCCTGCATCAGGATTAGTATCGGCTATGCCGCCTGTATGCTTTCGCGTGAATTGCCCTGAAGACGCTGGGTATTTTTCTGGCACCAAACACCCAAAGCAACCAAAGCACCCAAAGCACCATCTCGTTTAGAGTCTCGAGTAATACGCATTGAAAACGGGGATTTGCCTGGGCCAGAGTCTCTGCTGCTGCACTGCCTTGGCTTAGACTTTTGGGGAGGCCTTTGGACGGGTTAGCAAGTCATCGGATCGGTCTTTTGTGTCTCGGATACTTGAGAGCCTCTCAGCCTTGCCTGACAGACGAAGGAACATATGTACATCCTCCCATCCCCTTTCCCAAGTGCAAATCTCTCCCTTCTCCTCTCTCTCCTGCTCCATAGTTCATAAATGATGCGCAGATAATTAGAATGTCATCTCGCATGCACTTTGATGAAATAGGCAGAGTATCTCCACCGGGAGGGAGGGCCTACTTCAGAGCTGAGCTGAGCTGAGCTACCGAGCAGACCATCAAGTTTCCCCAACTGATAAGGACTTGTGACAGGTGTCAGGACCGTTTCTCAAAACCCACGGTAACATGCGGCAATTGGCCGACTCAACAGCCCCGAAACACGGGTAAGGGAATGAGATGGGATGGGAAAAGAGCATACATAGCTTTCATACAATAAGCTGACTTCATCGAAAATACTGTTTATCTGACGATCAATCTAGTGGATGTAGGTTTCTTCCATACCCAAAGCAAACAGCACACAGCATACATCCCAGGAGCACATCCCCCCCAGATGAAGCCACCAAGCCTAAATTTATGTTTGCGAAGCGTGTTTTAAAAGCGCCCTGGACCCAGAGGAGACAGGGACATGGGGACATGACCATGCGTATGAAATCTCGGGTCAGTGATTGGAATTAAAGGTCTTTAAAAGACCCCCACGTCCCATTGGCACTGGGTGGCCCAGGTGTAGAAGGAGTGTATGTGGAGGGGAGTGTGCATACTTAATCTTCCGAGCCCTTGAAAAGTCCATAATGACGGTATCCTTGTTGATACGCGTCGGTCGTTAGTTGGGTCCTCGTCCTCGCAGTATCATCCAGCCACTGCTCCCACAGCGATATAGAGATATGGACACTTGCACTAGAGACACTGGCCACACGCCACACGACATAAAAAGCGGGCTTTGGCCGGACGAGTGTCAACAGAGGAATGGAGGAGCTCAAATGTGGGCCACGCCCTAAGGCCCGAGGGCCGACGGCCTTGAATTATGATTTCACCTATAAATAAGCGCGGAAATTGTGCGTGAAGTCGATGGAGGATGGAGGATGGGGGACAGTTTGCTTAAGTGGAAAATCGACGTGCATCAGCATGCCATCAAAAGTACTAAATACGAGTATGGTGCATCAGAGAGTTATGGGACTAAGACGCTTCACGCCTGTATGCAGCACTCCAGCACTCCCCATGTCCCCATTTAGAGTCTAGGCGTAGCCTGTGCATCCTGCGTCACAGCTCCTGCGGCTCCTGTTGAACTCTGTTCTCGCATGGCCTCGACGACAAAGGAGCATTACATTCGGGCCAGACAAAGTTTTGCGAGCGTTTACGAAGAAGGCGCCATTTGAACCGTGCCAACTTGCTCGATGCTTTCTCTTTGGGTTGCAATCCTTTTATAAAGTTTGCTTATAAAATACGTCATGTTTCAGGTGCCAGAAAAGGTTCAGGTTAAAAAGGGGAGAGACGGGAGCCGTAGCATTTTCAAATTGCCGACTCCACTCTATTTTTCATTACCTTCAAAATGAATATTTCCCACCTAAGCTTTCAATCCTTCGTTAAAGTTCAAGTCCAATGCAGATCATCCGCCATAACCGCGACATCCAACAATCAATTCCAAAGAGATAATCCGGAGACAATCCGTCAATTCCATGATGGTCTCGTCTCCCATGGGCCATGCACCACAGTACCTTATCAAAACGGAATAGCTATCCCTCTCCCAATTCCCAACAAAAATCCAACTCGAATTGGCATTTGCTTCGTAGACGAATTTAACAAATATACATAAGCCTTTTAAAATTTAAACTTTTTTATTGTCCGATAATGAAGAAGAAGCGGCAGGGGCAGTGGCATTTGCTAGGCGGCGTTGCTGCTGCCATTGCCTGCGGCGGAAGTATTGCTGCGACACCCGTTGGACCGACTTCATGAAGAGATCCGCGCAGTTGGAGACGCAGTCCCGCTCAGAGGTTGTTAGCGTGGGGCCCGGCCGCACGATGCAGATTCTGAAGCAGCGATGCGTCATCTTCTTGATCAGCTCCTGGACATTGGCCAATAGTATCTGTTGCCTGATATGCTTAAGTTGACCAGAGTCGGGTTTCTTCAACGTCTCCTGCTTTGGCTCCATGCTTGCCCAATATATATTCTCCTTTCGGATTCGGATTCTCGTACCGCTTGACAACTTCCAAACTTCCAGTTTGCAATGACCGGATCGAGTGGCCTGCTTTGCGTGAATACTTTCAGATTCAAGTTCTGCCGTCATTGTGACACTTCCTTGCACAAATGTAAAGTCTACTCGGTTCTCAATTGGTTTACAGATGACACACATTTACGATGGGTACTTCGTACTTCGTACATCGAACGCATTCAAATTAGATTCGAATTATATTTATGTAGTAGGGTATTATGTTACATTAAACGATGTCAGCATAGGGTACAGGCCAGTCGCATATGAACCATTGTATTGTTGTATTTATGGAAGTGGGGATAATGTAAACATCCATATGGCGAGAGAGTGTCCAGTGATTGTCGGCAGATGAAAGGAACGAACGAACGAACGAAAGAACGCTTAGGTCTGCAAAATCCGTAGCACTCCGTATCTTCGTATCTGGGATTCAGAAAGAGAAACAAACGTACGCGCTCTGCTTGTTTGCATGTGTGTGTCTGTGTATATTTCTGCGTAAATACATATTTGCATGCCAGTATGCTAATAGTTGGCCAAAAGTTATCCTGGACTTACCCTGGGCAAACTGGATGAGCTTGCAGAGGAACTCGCCAAAGATGAAATGGCGCAGCAGGGTGCCCACCAGGGTGACGGGCATGCAGAAGACCCCCAGCAGGATGTCCGAGATGGCCAGGTTGAGCAGAAAGACATTGGTGATGGTGCGCATGCGACGGTTCTGCACCAGGGTGAGCACCACCAGCAGGTTGCCCACGACGGCACAGAGCAAGATGATCGAGTAGCAGGGTATCACCCAGATTGGCACATCCGCACTCACCTTCGCCACTCCGCCACTCCGGTGGCTGTGGTTGCTGCTAGGTGCGGCCGCGTTGGCAGTGGGGGCGGACAGTGTGCTGGACAGTAAGCCAAAGCCTGGTCGGGAGCCAAGGCCGTCCGCCTCCAGAGCAAACTCCAACCCGTTGCCGGTGTAGTTGTAGCTGTAGTTGTACAGATCGATGCCACTGATGCTCACATCTTGTTCCGCCATCCCGCTGCCACTACCACTGCCACTGCCTCCGCCACCCAAGCCTCCCGGAGAGCCCCCATAGAGCTCCTGGGCAGCATAGGTGCCATTGAGCTGGAGGACGGCATCCGTGGCCAGCGGGGCAAGCGCAGACAGCAGCTGGCGAAGATAGCGGTAGAAGGTGCCAATCGTGAGGCTGTCCCTCGGATCTCCTCGGATCCTCCCTTGCTGATCACTTGAATCGGCTCTCGCTTGCAGCAACCTTGCACTCGCGACGCGACGCGACACTGAACTGCACAAAGGAGTCGAAAAGTACGCAAGAAAAAATGTGGGGAGCGAACCTCCAAGAACGGACACAGAACTAACGGTGCGCGGCGTGTCTCGTGCCTCGTAGCCTTCGTGGAGCACTGAGGCACTGGCACCGTTGTTGGCGCCTTCTGTGGCACGTAGCCGGCATCGGGAGCCGCAACATGTTGGCCCCACAGCGGCTGCGGCCAACTCACCACAGCAACAGGGCAACATGTTGCCAAAGGACTTGTTGCTATGACCGCCGACCTTTTGGTCCTCTGCGGCTGGCGTCGAACGGGACCGCCGTCGATGTTCTGCTGCAAGGAATGGTCGGATCTTGGCCGCAACTGACACTCGTCACCTGCAAGACCACCCAGGTCACCCAGGACTACCACACGTCATTCAATTGCAATTCATAGAGTACGAAAGAACGAGTGAACAGGCTGGAAAGTTCTTTTGCATACTCTTGTCAGGGTAAACGACGACTGATTAAGACCGACAATGTTTGGCAATCAGTGGGCTTTGACATTCGCAGCTGAATAATTTGCATGTCCCCCTGGGGAGAGTCTCTTCGTTCTGGTTCTGGCTCTGATTCTGATTCTGATTCTGATTCTGTTTCTGGTTCTGCGTCTGAGACGCTTCCTTCCGCTCTCCGGCAGAGCATAACATTATCATAATCAGTGCTTGGGGTACCTTGGGGTAGCTTGGGGTAGCTCTCAGAATGGAAGCAGGCCACATTTGTCAACTTAATTAGCGCCTTGCGAACGGAGGAGCTGACTTCCACTCGCTTACACCTTTGCCTCATTATTTAAAGACCGCTTTTCTTTTTGTTTGTCTCCCGACACCTTTCGGCTTTCGCCTTGCCTGGTCCTGGTGGCTTTATAAATCACACAGCAACTCGAGGACAGAGCACCCATTAGGTGGAACTGAAGTAGCTTCCGAAGTGAAAGTGAGAGTGGAATTGCGGTGTTACCCCAGCAGCCTGGCCCCTGGCCCCCGGCTCCCGGCTCCGAGGCCATGTGGCCTCACTGATTTCCATCCGCGTGCAGATGCCAGACTCTGCCACAGAGCCGAAATTTATTTAGTTTCCCCCAGTAGCCCCAGGAACTATTCCCAGATGAACTCTTGCCTGCTACCCACATATTCGGCAGCCAACTGCACACTTCACTTCTGCTTCTCGGAGCTACTCTTACACTATGTGATTGTGATTCACGGTTCACAGTTCCCGGTAACTTTTTGAGTTGGTAGGAGCAGCCCACTTGCTGAATCTTATGAGAAGTTAACTCCGGGGGCCGTACATAAATGGGTTCATTCCGTTCCGTGATCATTACTGTCTAAGAGCCTCCGGCTCGCCGAAGTTCTGGGATGCTTTTGGTGTTTCTTTATTTTTTTTTGGTATATATTTGCCTAAATTGATTAATTCAATTTGACTCTTGCGGGGCCGCGAAAGACAAACTTTGCTGGGAATATAAATAATGCCACAGCATTAATTAAACTTGCCAGAATCGGCCCGTGCCAGAGCCCCTGGCCGATATCATTTGGTTTGGGTTGCTTGGTTGCTTGGCCTGGTTTGGGTTCGAGTTTGAGCTTGGGTTGGCTGTTCACGGTCTCCATTTATTTATTTATCTTGGACTTTAATTAATTTTAATTATTGTATTTGCATTTGTTATGGCTTGATGCTCACGATGCTCCAGCAGCAGTATCAGCAAGGCTTTTGTTGTTTTAAACTTTATGGAGTAATTCCCGGCCATTTCGATTCACTTCCACTTTCCACTTCCCTCAATGTTAATGCAATTCAGATTCAGGTAGGTCGAAAATTACACTGCTGTCGCTTAATGGCATCATGCGGACCGGCATAAGATATTCAACGACGCAGACACAGATACAAATACTCGCCCGCGCACTCGTACCACTAATGACGAGGAGCATTTGGGAGATACTCTGTGAATGCATAATGAGGACGAGGTTGCGAATGCCATTGAATAATGAATTAATCGCCCCCACCCAGCTGCTCGTTCCCGTGATCCGAAGGCATTTATTAACTATGGGTGTCCTGTTTTTGTGTGCCGCCCACCGACACTGCACTCCTGACAGACAGGCTTAAAAAAACACACACAAAAAATAGTTGGCTTTGGCTGAAAGTGAGTGGGAATTTACTCGCCCCATGAGTTTCCGCCCATTCCCCATTCGACGACAAAAGTTTTTTGGCTTGGACCAAGCTGAAGTTAAAGCCGAAAGTTTCTCGTCTTTAGACCGTGCCAAGTCTCGTCCTCGTTTTGCCTGACTTCCACTCAGCAACGTATAAATTGCCGGCAAGCTGCGATGCAAGGCAACGAAAGCGGGAGGTGGAGGAGGGACACAGCACACAAGGATGGGTCATAAAAACTGTAAAGTGTTTTGTACTCGTAATCGCACTCGTACTCGTACCCGTACATTTGGCAGCCGACGCTTTAAGCGAGTTCGAGTTGCGCGAAAACGGGCCCAAAAGCACGCGACCATAATTAGACTAAAAATGGCATTAAAGATGCTGGAGGATTGCTGTCCGGCTGCCGGGATAAAAGCAGTGGGCGGCCAGCGCTTTTCCGCTCCGAGAGCAGGTCCAGACCCAGACCTATCCCTATGTGCGAGTGCGGAAGTGGGCGTCGGTTGGGTCTGCTGTTTGTTGCTTCTTGTCGGCTTAGGCGTGGCATCTGCGTCTCTATGTCCTTCTGCTTAGCATCACAATCAGCATTAGAAGTGGACACAGCCAAGTGCAGCTTGCTTAGGGATTGTTCGTGTCCCGGACACCGACATAGGCATCGGCATGGGCCTGGGTATGGGTAGGCATGGATAGGGCGCAGGATAGGCACTGGAGAGAAGAGATAATTATGGGGAAATGCTTTGGATTTTCCGGACACAAATGGATATTAAATTTTTCCTGCTGGCCCCGGCTAATGGAGTGCCCATCTGTGCCGTGGGACTGTCGTTGGAGCAGTGGAAAAGGTGCGACTCGAAGGTGTGCTGGTCCTCAAAGAGGTTCGGTTTGCCAAGAAGACGAGAAGACCTGAAGGCGAGAAGGCGAGCTGCGTAAATGACTTACCATTTTCCCCATTTTAGCATTTGGCTTTTAAAATAAATATCATTAGGTAGTTAATTTTATATTTGCGCTGTGAAGTAATTAGGTTTACCGTTAACCGTTTAGGCCGAGTCCCAAGTCAATAGCGGACACGGTGTACGGAGTGGACTTCACCTGGATTGCGGCTGCCGCAGCTCGCTCTATGATGACTCGGCTCTGCGCTTTCTGGATAAGCTGTGTACCCGCCGCAATCGCAATGGAGGCAATGGGCTTCCTTCCAGCCGCACTCTGATTCGGCGGTGGTTCGCTCCCGTTGGGTGGGTTGATGCTTGGGTGGCTAGACACGGAGAGGTTTTTGGTTTATTGACTTGGGCGCCAAATCCTTTTTGGCTTTCCCTCGAAGTTCTGCGGCGACGCCGAAAACTTTTATTTAACTTTTCCCACTGTTTTTCACTGTTTCTCCACTCCGCCCACTGGCAATATTTTACGAGCATTTGCCCTTGCTGCTGCTGCTGCTGATGCTTCTGTTAATGCTGTTGCTCTAAACTCAAATTACGTTGAAATGAGCAATCTTTGAGCATCTTTGTTTTCTTCCTTTCATGCTGTTCATTCCCGGGCTCTCATTTGTTTGGAGGCAATGGCGCTAAACACATTAATCGAGTCAGCTCGCAAGAATAAACCCAAGCCCGGGCCCGGGCCCGAGCGTGGGCACAGCGGAATCTCCGATCTGCTCGAGGTGAAGCCAATAGGCAACATCCAACTGGCAACAGACAGCAGCAACGCACAGAAAAAAGCAACCACTCACTTAGCCAGTTAATTAGCTGAGCTGCCCTGCGATTGATTCGAGCATGGCCAAGGGCTAGCCGAGCAAGTGGCAAGAGGAATTGTAATGGTAATGCTAAAGGTAAAGGCGATAGGGTAGGCGATAGGGTAGGCGATAGGGGCGGGTGTGGTGGTGTGGTGGTGTGCTGTGGTAGTGGCTATGGTCCCAGAATTCCTGGCGGCTGACCTATGCAAATACCAGGAAGGGCAGACTTAGACCCAGACCCAGACCCACGTTCAATTGCCAGAAGGGCCCGCTGGCAGCTAGGAGCAATCTTTGGGTAAATAAAAACGTAAACAGCTCACTCAATGATTACACTTTATCCGGATTAGATGGACCACCAGCGTCGAACCAGAGCCAGGGCCAGGGGCACGTTTAATAATTCAAAACATCTGGCAACTGGTTGGCAACTCCTCAAATATGGATGAGATGGGATCGAATGGAAGAGAAATTGTTGAGGAGGCTCCACCGATAGACATTAATTGACCAATCAGCCAGAAGACCACAAGAATAGGGCGGGGACCAGGAATAAACCTGTGCCATCACTCGTTCAGTCTGATTTCTGGCTCTGGAACACGGAAATACGAATATAAATTGTACGGACTCGTACTTGGAATCCTCGTCCTCCTTTGTGGTTGATTTCTGATTGGCCCCCACCTTCCCCACTGTCTTCTGAAAATAAAGCCAGATGGCATCAGGTATTAATACCTGCAACATGGCTGCCATTTGTCTCGGGATTTATTTTTGGCCGGCTTAAGTAAACGTCGGTCCAGCCAGTATGTTTTTCTCTTTAGAATGATTAATATTTGTGCACTCCCCGAATGAGAACAGAACATTCGGGTTGAACATGAGGGCGAGAGACCATTCCGATTCCGATTCTGATTCCGATTCCGATCGGCTTGTGGGCT